AGCATCATGAAAGCCAAGGGGCAGGAAGACTCCTCTGGGTGCTAGGATTTGAAAGGGGCGTGACCACAGAGCCCAGGGTCTGAGTCTTGAGAGGCTCTCGGATCAGGAAGAGAAGTGATCTCCACGTCCAGTCTCCTGGATGCGGGCACAGCCTGCGTTGCTTCTCCCGGGGCATGTTCGGAGTGATCAAAGGCGCGGGGCCGGGAGACGTGCAACATCCTCTCAGACGGTTTCACAAGATACATCCGTATGCATCGGGTTCTCAGCCCTCCTCATGCAGCGACCCTTTCATACTGCTCCTTGTGTGGTGGCGACCCCCAACCATAACATTATTTTCGTTGCTACTTCGTCACTGTCATTTTTCTACTGTGATGAATCGTCATGTAAATATCTGATATGCTGGATGTATTTTCATGGTTACAAATTGAACATAATTAAACATAATTAAAGCATAGTGATTAATCACAAAGCAAAATGTAAATATATAGTGTGAAATATGTATGTGTTGTCCCATGGTCTTAAGCGAGCCCTGTGAAAGGGTTGTTCGACCCCCAAAGGGGTTGCGACCCATAGGCTGAGAAGCGCTGATGTACATGAGCGAGCGAGCGAGTGAGCAGATGCAACTGGAGGTTTCCACAGTGGCGAGGAGAGAATACCATCACTAAACACCTACCCCGTGGTTGTCTCGACAAGCCCCGGTCCTTGAGGAAGAGTGGCGGGCACCAAGCACCTAAAGGTGGAGTGCCTCGAGGGCCTGTTTGGAAACGGGTTTGGGGTGGGGGCAGAACCAGGGAAAGGCTTAGATGGGGGTAGGGAAGAGCCGAAGGCATGGGGGCTGGAAAGAACCCAGGGTTTGGAGGCAAGAGGTCTGAATCTGCTCATTCGCTCCGTGACTTGCCTGTGCTGCACCCCAGCTCCCTGAGTATAAAGGGGGACAATAGGTCCCTTTGGGATTGCAGGGAGGGAATCCCTGGAGCCTGTTGCTGTGTGGCTCTAGCGCTGCCCCAGAGGCAGGTGGAAATGGAGGCGACTGGGTTGTCATCAGGGCTCCCTGTTACATGTGTATCACACCTGAGGTGGCCCATCAGTGCTTTCCGGACGAGCCACGCTATGAAGGAACCCCAGGTGAGAGAGAGAGTAAAGGGAAGTGGGCTTCCCTGGGGACTCTGGGGTCACTGGAGACCCCCAGCACTCTGGCACTGCCCTGGCACCTGCCCTTGCCCACACTTGCCGGGCAGGTGGTGTGGTCAGAGGAGAGGATGGGGGGAGACATGTGATGCCACTCCTCTCTCCCGTTGAATTTCTTTCGGGACCTTAGAGACAACGCTCACCCTTCCTTGCTTCCTCCTGTCCCACTCAGCCCACACTGCGGAGCACAGCACAAGGGCTCTAAGGACGCCGACTCGCGCCAGGGGACCAGCCGTGGGCCTGTGCCGCCACTCATTTAGTGTGTCACCTTTTCTCCTCTTATCTGGGGTGCTCCATCACCACCCTCAGTCCATCTGAGGGGAGATCCGTGTTCAAACCCTGCCCCCAGTGCTCACTAGGGCACTCCTGAGCCCCCATCCCACCAGCTGCATTTGCTTAACTGCCAAGGCGTGGGGAGAGGGGTGGTTCGGCTGAGCAGGGTTACCGTAATGAACAGAGACAAAGTCGGCACAAATCACTGGCAGCCTGTTTATTGGTTACCCCTGTCTCTCTCCGCCTGGAGTGGCAGCCCCCCTCAGGCAGGGGCTCGCCACTGTCCCCCAGCACCCCAGGGTGTCGCCTGGCCCGTCGGTGTGGCTCCCTCACTAGGTGTTGACTGAACGAATGAGTGGGATGACAGTAAATGGTGTGACTCCCTCTGCTTTCTAAAATGTGCAGAAACACCCCTCCCAAACAAAACAGAACAAAAACCTTGGAATTTCTGGTTGCTGAGAAAGGAAGTTTTGGAAAGCAAGAAATAATCTCAAAGGCTGACACGTGTCTGTCAGTCTGTCAGGCAATGGAGGACACCAGGCAAGCTGGGCTTATCTAGACCCCAGGGATGGACAGACATGCCTACAGGGGCAGGCAGACGATTCCATGCATGGGGTATGGGAGGGGGGCACCCAGCAGTTGGGGATGCCCCCCTCCCTCAAGCTGACGGAGGCCAGGTGGAAAAGCAGGTGACAAGCTGAAATGTCAAGCGAAGTTCGGAAGCCAGTGGAAAACCAGTTCTCTTTCAAAACACGCAAAGGAGAGCCAGCAAAGTCCTCCTGTGCCCACCAAGAGCCACCAGGAGTGAGGGGCCCCTGAGAACCCCCCGCCCCCACCCCTGGGGGGGGATGTGTGTGGTTCATCTCTCCAGGTTCATCTCTTCAGTGCCTGGGGCACTGGTTGTTCATGGAGAGAAGGCCGGATGGCGAGCCGGTACGATGCCAGATCCAGGGGCCCAGGGCTCTCCTTGTGGGTGTGGCAGCCACCCTCCGGTTTCCTTTCTCGGCGTGGCCTCCAGGCTTTGGGCCTCCTGGACTTAGGGCAGGTCAGAGCCAGGCTGGGGGTGGGGGGAGAGCACCTCCAGGCCCTGTGCCCCTAGCCCGTGGCCGCCCCGTGCCTGGCATGTGTAAGTGATCAGTCCAGAGTCCGTAGTCACCGAACAAACGTCTCTCCCGGGACTTTGAACTCAGCTCTCCATTTCTGAGCCTCATCTATAAAATGGACACAAGCATGTGGTCCCCCTACCTCACGGGTGGGAGGAGGAGGTATTGGGAGGGGCCTCCAATGAGAAAAAAGGGGTGGAAGGGGTTTTCTGGAACTCAAAAGTGCTTTACAAATGCAAGGTGTGGTCACCTTCCTTGTCATGGTGATAAGCAGGACCGTTTGCCCAGAGCAGAAGGGGGGGCCTGGGGTGCAAGAGAGCCCACAATTTACAGGGACTTCACACAGGGGCTCTGATGGCGGGCGACCACCAGGGCCCATGCGCAGAAGGGATGGTGCTTGGGGTTCCCAGGCAGACTGGGCCATCACAGCCCATGTGCCTCATTCCTAGCCCCCTGGCGTCCAGCTCCCTGGAGGCCCGGTCAGGGCAGGCCACCTCACCCCACACAGATGACCTCTGGCCGACCCCGCAAAGCCCGGCTATGCTGTCCACAGAATAGAGAAACTATATAAATAACATAAATATTCTCTCATATATCTTAGCTATATAAATTATTCTCTTTTGCCCTAAAACCGAGTTGTGTGAGGTAGACAAAATACCCTGTGCATGTTTCCCTTAAAGCTGTGGAACGAGGGGCCGGTGGTCAGGCAGACCCCAGAGACAGCAGCAGGGCTCGGGCAGACCCTCGGGGCAGCTGGGAGAGGAAGAGGGAGGGAGGAGCAAGGATGGACGTGGGTTGGACACGCTCCGGGGTTCCTCAGTGTTCGTGGTGGCTGTGGTCTCTGCCTGCCCTTTGTCCTCTATGTGTGGGGAGGGGGGAGGGGGCAGATGGCAGGCTGGCAGGTCGTGTCCAGCTCGGAGCCAGGGTGGACGCAGAGCTGGGATCTCGGAGAGAGCGGCGGGCTGGGTGTCAGGGGTCTCCACACGGCAGGGGAGCATAGCGATGGATCCTGAGAACCTGCCCCCCTTGCTCCTCTTTTCTCAGCGGGCCAGCGGCTTGGGTGGGCAAAGTCAGTCCAGGGAAGGAGCCTGGGGTCAGTCTGGCTTCTCACCAGAGCCTTTGCAGTCAGACCCTTCCAGCGCGAAGGCCGTCCCTGCTTTTCCTTGCCCTCCGAGGTCCAGGGAGCTTGAAGGGAACCCAGCATCAGCTGACTCGGAAGTTTCCTGCTTTGGTGGAGGGTCAGCAACTCTGGGTTCAGAGCGAAAGGAAGTGGATGGAGGGGTGCGGCGGGGCCAGCAAGCGGCCAAGGGCTTCCGGAAGAAGGCCGAGTCCTCCTGGCTGGCACGGAGCCCTCTGGTCAAACCCGAATCCTCAAGCAAGGTCTTCATCCTGAACAGGGGTGTGTGAGCAGCTTGGGGACCACAGCCTGGCCAGGCTCAGGGGCACGCCCAAGTATGCGGGCACGCCGGTTGAGTGTGGGCCGGCTGGGCACTGAGAGTGCTCTAGGAGTAGAGGGAAGGGCAAACTCACTCCCATTCCTCAGGAAAGAGCCGCAGTGAGAACAAGTGAGGGCCACCTGCCATCAGTGAAGGAGCCACTGAGGAGCTCGGCCTCGTCCGGACCCAGCTGGGGCAGGAAGCATCCTTAGCCACTGGCCCCAAGAGCCGGAGGGTAAGCGGAGTCTCACCTCGTGGAGCACCAGTGCTGGATGAACGCAGAGCCCAGCCACTGGAGTTGAGCACAACAGGCTCTCCATGGGGAAGGATGAGGGCCCCCTGTCTCCCTGTCCCTCTGGTGCCCAGACTGAGTCCCCCTGGGGCCCTGGCTCTCCCTCCCTGTCTTTCCCCCATTGGTGGTCTTATGAAGCAATGCCTGGGTGTGTGCTCACCACGGCCCAGAGACATGTGGATGGCTCGGCACAAAGACACGGGCTCCGGGGTACATCTCGGACTTGGGTCCACTCAAGCCTGGACAACATTCCTTTCTCCCAAACACACCTCCCACCACCTGGCCTTTCTCCCTATTACCAGTAGGGCAAAGCCCCAGGGCAGTGAAGGGCAGTGGCCCCTGTAAGCTCAGTGCCATGGGAGCAGAGCCCAAGGGCTGGGCAGCTCCAGTCCAGCCGCACTCCCCCTGCCTGTGGGACGGGGTCCCAGAAGCCCACTCCCAAGCATCCTGCTGGCTCCAGCCCCTCCGTCCCAAGAATCAACATGACCGCAGCTCCCTTCCCTTTGCGGGCTCCCTCCTGGTCCACTCCCTCTCTGCCCTCCCTCCCCAAGTTCTCAAGCAGGCTGGAGACCCTGGGGTTCAGGGCAGGCTGAGTATGAAGGGAGAGAAAGGGGGCAGCAGGACAGGAGTGGGAGCTGCACCCATGGGTGCCCTGGCCTGCACACGTCAAGGACCGGACGGACGCTGCTGGAGGCCCAGGCAGTGCCCAGTGGGCACATGGGGCGGCGGGCCTAGTGCTTGCAGGTATACACGAGCTCCTCCTGCACACACTGCTGGCACTCCACGTAGCAGCACCACTGCACCTGGCAATGGCAGGAGAAGGCAGCCAGGCGGCTCTGGGTGTCATAGCCGCGCCCACAGCACAGGCTGCTGCAGCTGGCCTCCCGGGAGCACACCCTGCCCGCCGTGCCTGGTGAGTACTTGCTGGGCCGGCAGAAACTGGGTGAATCCTCCATGTAGACCAGGTCCCCCGACCGGGGCACCAGGCCCTTGGCGGGGCTGCCCGACCGCGTGGGGGCCCAAAGCTCCAGGCGGCCCAGGGCCTCGTTGGTGGCGCTGGCCACCTTGACAGCAGAGTCGTAGCGCAGCTTCAGCAGCTGGCCCGTCTCCCGGAAGGGGGAGAGCTGCTTCCAGCAGGTGCGCACGGCACAGGAGCCTGACACGCCATGGCACTTACACGTGGTCCTGAGGCCACTCTTCACAGCCTGCAGGGACAGAGATGGGGGTGAGGTCAGGGCTAGGGCCTGAAGGTCATTCCAGGGTAAGAGATCTGCCAGGGAGGGAGAACACGATGGGCCAGATGGCCCACGAAGCACCACCGTCATTGTGCAGCCTCGTGGTGGCACTTGGCTGCTAAGCCTAAGTCAGCAGTTCAAATCCACAGAGTGGTTCCCAGGCAGACAGACCTGGCCATCTGCCCAAGGCAGTTCTACTCTGTCACCTGTCACCTAGAGCCACCGAGGCAAAACTCAGCCCAACGGCACCTAGCACATCAGTCAGGGCAGTGGCAGCCCTGGGCCAACCTGAGAGCGTGGAGTAGATGGGATAGCAGCCCCTGCTCCTGCCCTGGGCTCAGAGTTCTCGAGGCGTCTACAACGTGTACGACAGAACACAGCGGCCTTTGTCCTGCCCAGACGTGAGGGTGCAGGAGGTAGGGTTCCCAGCCTCCCTGCTCTGCGGGCCTGGGCACTTACTGCCCTATAGTTCTCCCGCTGGTGTGACTTTGGCAAAGACCCTTCCCCTCCGAAGGCCTGCTCTGTCCTCCCAGCCGTTAAACAGAAGAAACAGGAAGCCTGCACTCCATCGAAGCTTTCAAGCCAGGTTGGCATCTGGTCCCTTTGGGAAGACCCCGTCTTCAGAAATAGCGATCTCTCAGGGAACACACTCCCACCTCCCCATGGCCCCATCCCAAGCCTGCCTCCCACCTGCCGCCCAGTCGTCCAGGTGCTAGGTCCCTTCGTGTGTGTGTGTGTGTGTGTGTGTGTGTGTGTGTGTGTGTGCCCTGCTCCCCAGCTCAGCACCCCACCTGGGGAAGGCGCGCGCTCTGGGCAGCCCAAGATGGCATGGGACTTGCCTTGATGCCCACGTGGGTGTTGTGGGCATCTGCTCGTGCCCGCAGGTCCTTGCTTCCTCGCTTGGGCCCCAGGAAGTTGCTCAGGAACTTGGTGCTGTACTTGAGGTTGTCCCCGCACACGCCCCACTGCCAGGCCTGCCGGCTCTCCAGGCCCGGGGAATCGTCGCAGGTGCAGCGCTCCATGCGCCCTGCACTGCAGGCCCGCGCCAGCGCGTGGGTGAGGGCAGCCGAGGACACCGCGTACAGGAAGGCAGTCTCCTTGAAACCTGGGCAGGTCCCAGGATGGAGTTGGTGGGGGGAGAGGGTAAGGAGTCAGTTCAGCAGACAGCAACAGCCAAGGAGGGGCCACCCGGCGAGCCCCCCTCTCATGCCCTCCTGAAAACAGAATCCTTGACTTTGTGAAGGACTGTCTCCAAGGGGACCAGCTGATGGCAGCAGCCGGAAAACTCCGGGAGGAAGCTTGGGTGGGGGTGGTTGGAATGGGGGAGTGAGTTTATGTTCATGGGGGGGGAAGACCAACTCAGAAAAGGGGGTGGGAACGGTTGCATAACTCAAGCACGTTATTAGTGCCACGAAAGTGTCCCTGTCATGTTTATAGCACCCCCAAGCCCCAAAACCCAAGTCACTGCCCTTGAGTTGATGCCTCCTCACAGCGGCCCTAGAGGACAGGGTAGAATTGCCCCAGTGGGTTTCTGAGGGGGAATATCTTTACAGGGGTAGAAAACCGCGCCTTTCTCCCCAGGAGCGCCTATACCACCAGGGCTCCTTTGCAATAACACCAAAGACACATTCCTTTTTAACAAGAGGAATTCACACAGAAAGTTCCATTTTTAAAACAAAAATGGAAAAAGAACATGGAAGTTGAGAATCTGGGTGGAAATCGAGACCTGGAATGGGCTTGGCAATTCACTGTGGCGTGTGTGCCCCGCGGTGCCACAGAGGGCGGTCGGTCAGGGGTTCCCGGGAAGGGTACTGAGGCTGCAGAAAGAAGAGATGGCCCACAGCGGGGACAGGGCTGGGCTAACCCAGGTATCCCGACTCCCACTCACTGTGGGTACCAGCTGGACTGAGCCATTTCCGAGGACCATGATGGCGCAGTCGTTAAGTGTAGCCTGCTAACCACAGGTCAGTGGTTCAAATCCACCAGCCCCTACATGGGGGAAAATTGAGGCTGCCTGCTCCCGTAAAGATATACAACCTTGGAAACCCTATATCGGGTCACAGTTAAGTCGGAATCGACTGGGTGGCAGGGGATTTGGTTTGATCTGGTTATCTGTGAGCACCGTACCCGGGCGTGGCCTCCTCGGGACGCCCCCTACCTCTCTTGAGCAGGCCGCTCCTGCCCTCCAGACTGCAATTCCAGCGCTCGTTCCGGAACTGGAACTGGCATTCCAGCAGGCCGAGGTGCGCGGCGTCCCGCAGGGTCTCCGCCAGGCCTGGCTCACGCCGGCACATCTGCTTCTGTCGGCGGGAAAGCTTCAGCAGATCACACTGCTTCAGATGGACACCCCCCTGCACGGGGGCTGCCACAGTGCCCAGCCCCGGGAAGGGCGTTAGGACCTCCCGGCCGGTCAGGCTGGAGAGGGCGAGAGAAGAGATGCCACGTGAGATGGGGCCCGTGCTGGGGAAGATGAAGGGTGACAATATCCCTGAGGACCTGGGGCAGCGGTGGTGGACAGGGCTTCTCGGAGGGCTCGACCACCCTGCACCCACCCCACAGACTGGGAAGCCACCACCTCATGCAAAGAAAGCCTCAGCCCACGTTTTCCAGACACCAGGCTCCTCCCTTGACTCCACAGGCCTCCAAGGAGAGCAAGCATCTGGGGTGCTTATGCCGGTCCCCAAGATCCACATTTGATCGACTTGAGTCCATTGGTCCGGGGCGGGACCTTGGAATCTGCACATTTACCGACTTGCCAGGGTGGCCCCCCATGACTGGGGACATTTAAGAAACACCACGGTCGTCATACGGGCTGAGACAGGCTGAGTCGACGGCAGTCTGAGCTCCCTCCAGCTCCTCTTTCCCTTCTGTTCTGGTGCCACCCAAGTCGGCCCACTTACGTGGCTTGTTCCCACCCTTCCCGCGCGCATCAGCCATCTGCCCACTTGGTGCCAGGGACAAAGGAAGAACCTGGGGGGGATACCTGAATGGACTGACGGACGGGTGGATAGATGGATGAAGGCAAAGGAGCTAAAGTTTCCATCTGACCATTAGCCCCAGAGTTCTGGTGACTCTAGCCCCCAAAGTCCAAGGACTCTGGAGTCAGGCTGTCCTGGTCCTTAGCCCAGGTCTATGGCACCCTCACTGTGTGGCTTGCCGCTGTGGTTTTCTCCTCTGGAAAGTGGGAAGAGCCATCCTATCTGCCTCCAGGGGTGCCGGGAGGCTCCTGGGGAAAGCCCTTACCACGTGGTGCCTGAGGTCCTCTCGCTACCTGGACTGCCTCAATACCCTTTCCGCCCTGGTGCGATGTTTCACTCTCAAGCCTCGCCTCCCCCTTTGTCCAGATGAGGAAACGGCGGTTCCCCGAGGAGGCAGCAAAGTGGGGACAAGAATCAGAGCTCGCTTTCCCTCTTCCCTGAAGCCTTCGATGAGATGGCCCCGCTAGGTCAGAGGGCTTGCTGCCCCTTCCCTGGGGGTGGGGCGCCCAGCATTCTGAAGCCTCAGTTGGAGGGTGGGGTCCCTTCCGGAGACATGTCAGCCAGGGAGAAGCAGCAGTGGTGGGAGCAGGCGATAATGCTCAGAGCTCCTGCTTGGAGATGGCCTTGTCGCTCCTGCTCAGGTTCCGCCAACCCAGTGGCCAAGCCCTGAATGGGCTGAGAAGCCCAGGTCCAGTGAGCATGGCCCTCCTGCTTGTAGCCACCTGCCTCGGCCAGGCCATCTGGCTGGACGCCACCCCCACTCTGTCTGCCCCCAGAGCAGGAAGCCTCTGCCGAGGGTGTGGGACCTGGCCCAGCCCCAGGTGCACCCAGAAAGCGCCCCCAGAATCCAAATCCATCAGGTGCAGCCAACCCAGTGGGTAGCATATCTCCGAAAACCCTGAGCAGAGACAGATGCTATCGCGGCTCCTCCTGGCCCAGCGTGGCCCTGGGCTCCTCTCCCAGACAGGGTGAGGGCAGGGGCCCGTTAATCATTCATCTGGGGGCAAATGGGTAAATTTCCAGTCCACCAGGTCCACACCTAAAGCCCCTCCCTGTCGCCTGGTGGGAAACCCTTAGAGCTTGACCCTTGGCAGGTCCTGAGCAGAGCCCAATGTCAGCTTGAGCTGAGAAGGCCCAACGGGGACAAGTTTCCCTCCTGTATGGGCTGCAGGCAGCGAAGAAAAAGGCAGCCACCCAGCCCCTTAAAAGGCCGCTCTCTGCACCAGGGGGGTGGGAGGGGAAATTTCTGCTCACACAGCACCAGCATTTTAGATGCCGCCCTTGTAGTCATGGATGGACAGATGGGAGAACAAGCCGAGAGGGATTGGATGGGCAGGTGAGAGAATGAGCCAAGAGGGTTGGGATGGGCCAACAGGGTTACACTTTCTTCAAAGCTCCTCTCAAATGTACTTTTAAGAACAGCAGTGCTGCTGCTGGGCAGGAGGAAAGCCCTGGGGCTCTGCTCCCCTAAAGGAAACCTTAGGGGGCCGTTCTCAGTGTGTCATCGAAGGTTGCTGTCCACTGGACTCAACTCAAAGGCACCCAGTGGCCACACCGCTGTGTGCTACACATTGCATTATAGCATGCATGCACTGTGGTCCAGGTTCGATTTCCGGCCGACTGAGCCTCACGGGTGGACACCCCCACCCCAGTCAGTCAGTGGAGCCTTGGGTGTCACTCTGAAGTTGAACGAGTTTCCACAGAGCTTCCAAACTAAGATGGACTACGCAGAGAGGCTGGGCAATCCTAAAGCTCGGCCAACGGAAACTATGGCGTGCAACCATCCAGTCTGTACCCAGTCATGGGGATGTCAGACAACTGAGCAGAGAGCTTTGTTCTGTTGGGCCGGAGGACAGCAGCCGAGAGCTACCACTTTTTACTCCAAAAATACACTCCCTCCTAAGTCCTGTAAGAAAATTACCACTGGGGGCATCTATCAGGTCGGGAGCCCATCCCATAAGGTTGCTGTGTGGCTGCTGCTGGCCATTTTATACCACATGACCTTGCTGCTCTGGCCTGTTGATTGGGCCAAGCTGAACCAATTGGTTGATTCTCTGGGAATTCAAATTCATTTCAGAGGAAATGTAGTCCTGTTCTCTCTCGGGGTGGCTGAGCCTCAGCGAAAGGAGCAGAAATGAGAAGAGGAAAGAGAATTGGGGGAGCTTTTCAAGCCCTGCTCCCCAAGTATTCCTAGTTCCCAGCTATGTGGTTGGCTGAGACGCCCTCTCAGGGAAAAGGTGGGTGACTGTCTAGAAGGGGCAGCCTCATCCTTCGGTGGTCGGAGAGCCAGGCTTCCTTAGGCTGCTTGTGAGCCGGGCTCAGCACACACGCTGGTGCCCGTCGGCAGGCCCCTGTGTTTTTAATTTCCTGTAATAGACCCTGTGATTGATGGTTCCAGGAGTCCAGTATAAAGTCGGTTAATTTTATTAGCGGTAATGACACTTAGTAGCGATTAATGGTGGGGAAAGGCAGCCAACCGCACAGGGACCTCAGGCCACACCGGGCCCTGGGCTGGCCTGGAATGGCTGCCGACTGTCTGGCTGTCCAGGAGAACTGCTGAGAGCCCCGTTTCCCTGGCATCTGTTCTCCACATCTCAATGTATGGAGTCCTGCTGGTGCAACAGTTCAGCGCTCAGCACCTAACCAAGAGGTTCAAGGTTTGGGACCCACCCAGGGCCTCCCTGGCGATGTGCTCCCAGGTAGATCGCCATCCAGAGCCCCCTGCAGATGGATTCTATGTCCTGTGGGGCTGCTATGAGTCCACTTGACTGGACGGCTTCCATCTGCAGCAACAACACACCCCAAACCCGAGATCATGATTTCCTTTGAAGAAACAACTTCACACCATCCAGTGTAGGCCATGCCTGAGCCCATTTCCCAGCCTGCCCACCTCATGGCATCTGCTGGGAAAGGGCTCCTCCTGGACCCCAGAATTCTGAGTGTCGCAGGTCCAACCCATCCTTCCCCACCGAGGAAGCCACACTCTGGTCCCCGGGCCTGAGAAGCGCACCATCAGCCTCTCTCTGTCCATCTTGAGGAAGCTCCTCAAGTGAGCTGAGCCCAGTGGAGGAAGATGTGCAACCAGAAAGCCCAAGTGAACGTCAGCGGTCTTAAGATTCCAGACGAAACTTGGGGTTCTGATAAAGACACTGCCTGCCCGGGGGGTCCGGTCCTGTACTCTCAGCCAAGCCAGTAGCCCGCCTTCTGATCTGAGGAGCAGAGTAGGGGTCATTTGCAAAGTTGCTCATTGCTCTTCCGGTCTGTGGATGGCCAGATGAGCGCGCCTTTGGGCTGATGCCTGACTCCAGTGCTCACCCACGGCCTGGGACCCCAGCTCCCCACACTTGATCGGTTTGCCTCCGCTCTGGCCCAACGGGCTCCCCTCTTTCCAGGCTGATTTCTGGCCTGTATTTCCCCGTGGAGAAAGCAACCACACCACGTGACAGTTCTCATCTTCCCCCATCCTTGCCCCAATCTAAGCCCTCCACTCTCTTCACCGCCCTCTCCCCAGGCCCTTAGGGGTCCAACTGATTATAAGACCAGAAGCCTCCATCGCACCCCCAGTGAGATACCTTTTGATCATCCCCCCATGTACTTCAGCAGAACCAGAAGAAGGCTCTCACAGGCTTTGGAGGAAGACTCCCAGGAGGCTGTTTGTGTCTATGGTCGGCAGGACCCCTACAACTCTCACACCCTGACCCTCCATTCCTGCTGGAGCTTGTGGGGGCCCACAGACCACAGGGGCCCAAGGCTGTTCTGGCCTCTGGCACCCAGAGACCAGTGCATTCCATCCCACAATTGACTTTGCTGTGGCGGCAGAGCAGGCTGGGAGCCAGACCGCCAGGGATCTGCCTCTCCCTGGCTGTGCTCCCTGTGTAAGCCACCTCACCTCTTTGCACCTCATCTAGGACATGCAGGTGAAACAGTGCCGCCCCAAGGCCTGCTGGACTCAATGGGAGGATATTTGTAAAGCTCTTAGAGTGGAGGCTGGCACATCATAAGTTCTGTTTAAGAGTTTGTCACCACTGATCATCTACCATGTGGGTTAAACATTGGCCGGCTAACCAAAAGGCCAGCAGTTCAAATCCACCAGCAGCTCCATGGCAGAAAGATGAGGCAGTTTGCTTCCATCAAGAGTACGTCCTCAGAAACCTACGAGGCTGGCCTCTTCTGTTCTGCGGGTCACTGTGAGTTGAAACGGGCGGCGGGCTGGCGGTGAGTTGGGGGTTGAGGACTATGTGCCAGGCTCTGTGCTGGGGGCTGTGGACACAGTCCTACCTCTAAGGAGCTCCGTCTGGTGGGAACAGGGTTGGGTCCAGAGGATTGAGGGAGGAGGAGAAGGCATTTAACCAGCCTGTCTCCCAAAGGAACAGTAGCTGTTTAGGGAGCTGGATCTGAACTTTTAGCATGTGGGTGAGAGACCCTCCCCTTGGCCAG